ATATTTATATATATATTCACTATTCAGTAAAAAACTAACAAAAAAAACCCCCAATATATATTCATTATTCAGTAAAAAACAAGTACATAATAAATAATTTACCTTCTGGAGATTTCAAGCAAAGGATAGTCAAGTCAATATTTGTTCAAAGAGATGACTCCAGGGTTTAAACAGCCACAAATCCAGTTTATCATCCCAGTGAAACTATTTTGGGGGGAAATCTCTTAACAATTAAATAAAAAAATATCTAAAGGCAACACAGTATAAATTACAAGCCGTTTTTCTGCTTTTTTTTCTCTCTTTTGGTGATTCTTGGCCGGTCTCTGACCCGGTGATCTGTTTGTGGTTCCTGTGCTTGTGTTTGATGGGGGAAAGATTCAGGTGACAAATCAGCAGTTTAAGCACAGCGGATGTCGTTTTTATGGCCGCCATTAAAGTAGATTTAGCTCGTTTCAATGACGTAGCGGCTCAAAGGCAGAGCTGCAGGTTATTAACGATCCCCGGGTCACCACAGGCCACATTTCCATGCTATTAAGAGCTTAGCATTTCCTTTTTACTCACAAGTGCATTGGTTTCTATTTTTTTCTCCATCTTCTCTTTTTTTCCTTTTTTTTCCAAAGAAAATTTATCTCCATGTTTCCTGCCCAGGCTTCTCTTTTGTGAATTTATTCATATATATACTGTATGTGTGTGAATTTATTCTCTATTAGAAGAAAGATGTTTGCCAGAATTTGTGGTCCTATTTCATAAAATGCTTCACTTTCTACTAACTGTAGAACTAAATTACCAAAACAAGGCAAGTTTATTTGTAAGCCATATATATATATTTTTTTTTTTTAATAAAAAAATTCAAATGTGTGATTGGACTGAAAATGGATTTTTTCACCTGCGTCTTTTTTTCTCTATTTTTTCCAAAGAGCATGTATCTCCATGTTTCCTGCCCAGGTTTTCTCTTTTTCAACATTTCCGTGTCAATTTATTCTTTATTAGAAGAAAGACGATTGCCAGAAATTGTTGTAAAATGACTCGCTTTCTGCAAACTGTAGAACTAAACTAGTAAACCAAGGCAAGTTTATATGTAAACCAGGAATTAGGATTAAATTATTTTAAAAAAATAAAAGAAATTCAAATGTGTGATTGGACAGAAAATTGATTAAAAGAACAGAAAAAGTCAAAATAAAACGAAAAAAAGTGCAAGATAATTCAGCCAACGAATGGAAAACTGAGTTTTTCTGTTTAATTTTTTATATCAGAGACAGTTTATCTCTGTTCAGCAAATGTATTTACACTCAGTTTGCCCCAAACTCCAGCTTCTGTTTCTGCTCCACCTGGTTTATATTCCTCACAGGTGCTTAAACCCCCTTTTTTTTGTGGGCGGGGCATAAAAAAACCGGGGGATTTCTTGTAGGATTGAGCCCTCGGCCTGTTGAATAAAGCCGTCAGAATCAATAACAGCAATAATAGCTTTTCCTTCAGAGCTTCTGCTGACACATCCGGTCATTTTCTCCCCATAAAAGCAGCCCATTACACAAAATATTCACACAAAGGATCGGGACGCTCAAGAGAGAGAGAGAGAGAATGGGAGTGTCCCTTTATAATGCCCCTTTTCTTGAAAAAATTAGAGGACTGGAATAGTCAACCATTACCAGAGTCTGCACAATTTTGCCTTTTAGGAAACAAGTCATTGATTCTAGATCCCAAAAGCCGGAAGTAGACTAAAGATGGCAGGTTTTCTGTTAGCAGACAGAATTATTCTTCGTAAATCAGAATCAGAATCAGAAATACTTTAATAATCCCAGAGGGAAATTATTTTTGTTACTAACTCCATAAATAAAACAACAGCATATACATATATACATGACTGTACATATATATATATAAATACATATATATATATATATATATATACTAAATTCCTCATATAATATAGATATATAGATAAAAAATACGTATATGTGTATACATATTGTGTATGTGTTTATGTATATACATGGGTCAAAATAAGTGGTGAATAAT